GCAAAAAGGATATATGCGCCATGTACATCCGGTGTTCCTCACAGTTATTAAATATACAAAGCTCCTTACTCTAGTTGGTATACTGAAAATAAATTACTTAAACAGTTACTTCGGCTAGCAATTCTGTGAAATGTCGAGGAGAACGATGTTGGAAAGAACAAATTTAGCAAAGAAATTCACTGGATATAGAAATAGAATTCGTTTTGGCTTCTTGTTCTTGAATAATCTATAGTAAATGAAGATGACACTTCTTTAAACCGCTGTCTTGAAAGAAACGGTAAACCTAAGTTCTTTTTCTTATTCTTCTATCTTCACGGATTAGGCTCTTTGGCTGTGTCCATTTTGAATTAATGAATTATGAAATTTGAATCTTATAGACATCCGGATGGGGTGATCAGACCGTCGCAAGGAGGCTACAACAGCAAAGCAGAACGAAAGCAGACAAACATCCATGTCTCGAACTGCATTCGAACCCACGATCCTAGTGTTTGAGCGGGCGAAGACATGCCTTAGACCGCGCGGCCACTGGATCGGCTAAACATAAATTACATAGGAAATAAATTTAGTACAGAACTCATGAATAACGCGTGATCTAATCTTAAATTGAAAAATCCTGTTGCTTTAATTGTACTGTTTCTCTCAACACACTTTTATATTTATATATACATGTTAAATGTATGCTACATGTTGCAGCATTTTCGGCATCATGACGTACTGTACATTCACTGTTAAACTAACTTGCAATAAGAAACTCCGTGGCCTGTAGTCCGCAAGCGAACTATACCGACCGAGCGACCGCCGTTATTCGACGAAGTTAGTGCCAACTTTAGCGGATAGAGGGTGTCACATGGTTAGCGCAACCGATCCCCACGGCCGTTAATCTCTGTTTTCTACTTCGGAGCCGCTACTTTTCCATTCAAGTATCTGCTCAATTATCCTCACGAGGCTGAGTGGACCCCATTCCAGACACATTGCTTCTAAGAAAATCTGGTATCGCCGGGAATCGAACCCGGGACCTCTGGAACTTGAGCAGGGAACTCTGACCGCTAGACCACAGAATCGGTCGAAACTAACCTGCAATAGGAACTTTAATATACAAAGATCCAAGTCTCAACTATTTTCTTATTGCTAGTGGGGTGGGACTAAGTCCCTTGTACTGCAGCCACTTCTGGCCTATTGTACCAGCCCCAGATGATAGGTGAGAGTGATTGTGGAGCAATTGGTGGAATGAAGATTGGCAGGGGAAACCGAAGTACTCGGAGAAAACCTGCCCCAGCGCCACTTTGTCCACCACAAATCCCACTTGATCAGACCCGGGATCGAACCCGGGCCGCTGCGGTGGAAAGCCAGCTACTAACCGCTTGAGCTATGGCGCGGCCATGTCTCAACTAAAATCATGTTCCAGTCATCCTTTGATCGGAAGAAGCAATCACAGAAATTGGTAGAGACACCGAACGTAACACAGATGAACATGGCAGTCTGTTGTGTACATACAGAGAATGTGAACAACGTCGCTTGAGAGCGGGNGAGAAAGAGGTGTTGCTGTTGATAAGAAGCAGAAAGTGCACGAAGGGGGTGGTGAGCGGGGGGGGGGGGGAGGATACATCGAAATTGAATTCCGCACACAAAACAAAGCTACAAAATATACCGGATGATTTGCGTTTATGTGTGGAGTATCTCTACATTGAATTTTCACATAGATGCTGAAGTTCACTTCATCATAAACGTATGGGCTATGTGGTGCTTTAACTGAAACTAACGAATTCAATTCCGCAGAACACGGAAGAGTCAGAGGTTCAGTGTTGGTTAGTGTTACCTCGCATCTTTAGAATACAAGCCTAGAGCATTATTTTTTAATTCTTTGGTGGGGAGGGATTTGAGATTGAATTTAATTGATAAACAGGCCACCTGTGGGGCTACTGTATCAGCTCCAAACGATTGGTGAATATGGAGAAGCAGGTGGAATGAAAATTGGCGGAGGAAACCGAAGCACCCGGATAAATCCTACCAAGTGCCACTTTGTTCACCACAAATCCCATACTACCTAACCTTTGGTCTAACTCAGGAGTCTAGAATAGTACTGCTACAAGAAAGAACCATAAATTAACCCATCACGGCTCACTGAAATGAGAATACTGTGCGTTACTGTAGGGGACCATAATATTAACCGTGCACGACAGAACGAAATAGGGAGACCGTTGTATTTATTTTGCATCCGTGCCCACTGATATGCCATCACTTTGTACTAAGAGAATGTATTTTTTTTTAAAGCAGATGTAAAGGTGTAATTAACTTTCACAGTTCAGTGATATATATAATATATAATCATGGCATGTGAAGCATTTTATTGAGCTGGCAATTTAATGTATACTTCATACACAGAAATATTAAAAAAACAATGACAGGTGAAGTTTTTTTTTCCCTGCATGTGAGTGACTTACGCACGTTCGGAAATCTCTGAACCCTGATTTGCATATCACAGAATATTTTCGTGGTAAATATAATACAAACATATTTTTCTTAAATAATTTAGTTTTTGTATGAGAAAGAATTTTAATGAAATTTCTATTTTCTCTTTGAAATTTTCTTAAAAACTTCATTATTGCACAGTGTTTATATTAATTTTTTGTTCACGCAAGCGCCATGTTTCTTAGTGATGAATGTAGGAAATTAAAACAAAAATTTAACACGCGAAGGCTAATGAATCCTTTCAAGCTCGCAAACAATTTTCTTTACTGCACAAACTGTAAGTCAAAAAACACTTGGAAAACAAACAAAATAAAATAAGAGGAAAACGTTTTATTTCTGTGACAAGGCATAGTAAGGGAAGCCAACATATAAAATACCTGTCTTAACAAGTTTTATTTTTTTGGTAATCCTTGTCAACAATGCATAGGGTCTACTAGTACATTAAAATTCAAGAACTACAGTAATCCTTCCCATTTTAAAAAGTTTGAACCATTACAGATTTCACTCTCGAACTCTGTTAACTTTCTAGATGGGACAACAGCAATGCTGCCAACTTTTCACTCCCTTATATGCCTATTCTTCGTTCACAAGGTTATTTCCAATGGAATATTTCGACAGAGGGAACTTCCATGTTTTTAACGTGTCAGCAAATGGAAGATACACGAAGAGGGCAGGGAGTAAAGTTATCAAGAATTGTAAATAGTGACTAAAGCAAATGTATTGTGAATGTGTACAGAGAGAATGATGGCTCGGCAGAAGAGAACAGATCTTACTCCATTCTGAGATACACTTTCAGAAGCAGGGGGAGATGTATTTCTCCTCTTTCGAAGTAATGTTGCTTTTTTCACATGAAATGAGAATTAATATTTAATGAGGTAGTAGAAGGGAAGGCGAAATATATGATGGCGAACCTATGTGAGAGTCTACACGGCGGAGGGATACACCACGTGGTTCCTAAACGTAACTAACACGCAACATCTGACCTCCTGAGAAGGATTCTGTGTTCATTTCATCCAGTCACGGAAGGGACTAACAAGATTGCATTTGGGTGGTTTAATGTTAAGAAATGGCCGCAAGTTCTTGGATTTTATATGAAAAACATACAAGGAATATTGGCAGTAAGTTATAATGTATATCATCCTTCAAATGTTCGAATGTCTGTGGTGATGCCTATAAGAAATAAGAACAAATGTTTATATGCTATTTATAGAGTAGTTTCTGTGCATAACTTCACTAATACAAATTTCAACTGCTTCAATTTTGTCATTGCTTAATCCCGTAATAGGAGCCGCAATGGATCAGTAGCAACGGGCTACGGCCTGGGCGACCGGAGTTCAATTCCCGGCAGGGGCAAAAGATTTTTCTCTTTTACACAGCGTTCAGACCGGCTCTGGGACCCACACAGCCCCTATACAAAGGGAACTGGGGGCGTTTTCCCCAGTGCTAAAGGGGCCGGGGCGTGAAGTTGACCAGTCACTTTCATCCAGTGTCGAGATCAAGAATGGTGGAGCTATGCCTTCACTCTCCCACGTCTTCATGGCATGGTGCTAGGGGCAACTCTACATTTCACCGTGTCCCTATGTCTGTTCCTCCAACAACCTGAGAATCAATAGAGTTTTCGTGAAAGACGGTACTAAGATCATGCCACTAGAGAGAGAGAAAGAGAGAGTTGAAAGGTTAAAACGTGAAGTTTTCCTTCTGCTTATCTAACTAAGCACTACGCCATGAAAGCGTATGGGGAAGCGGATATGTAGATCCACGTTTTCCTGACCTCGGCACTAGCGAGTTGTCAGCTTCCCGATCCGGCCGCTTTACCCCCGTGGAAAGAGTCCCGATATCCACTGTATAGGAGGTTGGATGGACAAAGCAACCGGTCTGGATGACGTGGAGAAAAGAAAATTCTTGCCCTACAGGGACTCGAATTCTGAACCCTCGGTTGTCCAGCCCGTAGCCAGTTGCGCTATCGCAAGTAAAAATATATTTTCATAGATAAACGTGGAATTCAAAGGATGCAAAGAGAAACAGTACCATCCAAACACTGAGTGGAAGGACTGAGAAAAACAACGAAAAATTTCAGTCAGGGTAACAAGTGTTCCGGATGTTATTCGAACTGAGCACCTCCAAAATATGAAAATAAAGCGTTATCCCTATGCAGCCTGTGTGGACGTTAATTATGTCATGAAAATAAAATCAAACAGTGCTAGTTCCCTGAATGGAGAGTAATTATCTAATATCCTAAGATATTTAGTGCGATATGCTACGAGGAGAAATGAGAATAATTTGTTCTATTCGTGCAAAATTGTGATTAGGCAGTATAAAATGTATTATAGAAAAGGAACCAACTAAAACGAAGATCACATGTGTAAGGGGTATGGAGAAACAGAAATAGCACAAGTTATTTCAGGCGTGGATGTTAGGAAATTGAGCAACCTACTTGGGAATTATAGTACAGGAGCACAAATAAAAAAGGGCAATGAAACAGAGACGAAAACTTGCAGTACGGCAGATAGCTACTAAGATTCATTGCCTACCTGAGTCGAATGTGACTTCGCTGATCATAATCCACTTGGAAGCAAAGTGAAGTTGTAATTTCACGAAGCGGCCAATGCGATGGTGAAGTTTAATGGAAATGTTCCTAGAATTCTCGAAGATCCTGTCTTCGATATACGTGTATGTGATTGGTTCGCCCACGAAGTACCGCCCTCCGACACTGAACATGATATTGGCTTCTGAGAACACCTGAAACAACCCAGAATCAACAGAATAATTCATACACGTAAGTAAAACAAGAGGTTCATACATAACGCTGGTGAAAGTAAACTGACGTTTCGGAGGAACATATCGCCTCAATCTTCAGGACTGAAGAGTAAGCTAAGCAATAAACTAGCAGAAGTAGACTGCAAGGTGAATTTCTTGCTTTGCTTACTCTTCAGTCCTGAATATGAAAGCTATATATTCCTCCGAAACGTCAAATGACTTTCACTGGACCACAAAGAGTCTTTTTTAGAAGACAAAACTCTTCATAGCCACTGCTCTGAGAACCTTAAGTCCAATAAGAATTGAAAGTTTTTCTTCATTTTACAGTGTGCATAGTTTTCATACGAATTATTTGCAATTTTCCAACCCTCCTTGGAAGGGTAGAGACATGATCCCCCTCCCCAAAATGGACAACCAATTTATTAAGGGGGCGGTGGGAACATTTGTTCACACACTTTCGTTCCAGCTATTTTAATATATTTTTACTGCTCATCCTGAAGTATTCAAAATAGAAAAATAACACAAAAATACTTTTATTATATTTGGTGTTAATGTTCCCTATACCGTTTTTTTATTTTGATTCATATCCAAACCTCTAGGAGGTGAGGCAGATACCCCCCCCCCCCCCCCACCGTCAGTGTCCATGTCCCTATATTTTTCATTTTAATTCATTCCAGGAACAGGCCTGTTGCTGAATCTCATAATCTATATTACAGATCCATGCTGCATACAGTAATACATTATATTAGACACATAGATCACTGTGGTCGCGGTGCAAGGGCCAAGAAGGCCCACCCCTTATACGTTCAATATATTATATTATGGTAACATAATAAAATGAGTATGAAGATGTGACTTTATGATGTGATGCCGCGCAGTCTGGTAGAAATACATAAACGTTTCGCTAGAACCCACTACGTCCATATTCAGGGTGTGTAATTAAGAGCAAAGCATAATACATAATTGTTGTTCTCCATATTCTCTAAAACTTAAGCCGAAATGACAAATATAAGAGCTGAGGTTTCCACGGTGGTGAAGAATTATCTGGTATTTTAGCAACAAAACTTCGGAGGTACATATTGTTTCCATCGTCACAGGATATAATGACACCAACTTACCTGCTTACACAACGTCGTAACTGACAATATAACAATACGAATCTCCATATCTGTGAAAACCTCAAATTTTATATTCCTCAATAATGGATACTTACTTACTTACTCATGGAGCTGAGCCCTTATTGAGGAGCCGCCAATTCTGCAGCTACTCAAGAATTTCCCAGCATTTTAGGGAACCCGATGGTTCATTACCGTGTTCACAAGAGCCCACCACTGGTCCCTATCCTCCGCCAGGTCAATCCAATCCATATCATCCCATCCTATCGCTCCAAGATCCATTTTAATATTATCAACCCACTTACGCCTTGGTCTTCCCAGTGGTTTCTTTCCTTCTGACTTTCCCTCCGATAATGGGTATGTTTCACGAACTACAGTGATATATGGAAAAATAATTTATCACTCCTTGCAATTTGTTACACACCCCGAATATTTGGGCAGCAACACCGTCCCAGAGATTGGTATTTGCTAGACTGAACGGTGTCACTCCCGAGAAGACCACAACAGTACGTACTGAGAAACGCCGTCTTTCCAGTAGGCCAAACAACTGCAGGCCGTAACGAAATAAGAATTTTAAATTATGCATTCACTTTTCGAGCAATGATTTGTTACCTGAAGCAGCAAACAACGTTCACTTTACAACTTAGAGTAAAGAGGTTGCATCTGATGAATACGGTCCAAAATTAAATCCACAATATTTAGCGTAAATTTCTCGTAATGTTTCACAGACTTCGGAAATGAAGACTGCAGACGGACAAACAGAGAAACGAACGTGACTTCTACACCAACCTGGCCGGTGATGGGTGAATAATGAATTGTGTGCGATGTGGAATGGATCTTAGGGAGATAGAATGGGGTGGTATGGTCTGGATTCATCCGGCTCGGGATACGGACCAGTGGTGGGCTATTGTGAACACTGTAATGTACCTTCGGGTTCCATAAAGTATAGGGGAAATTCTTGAGTAGCTGAGCGAGTGGTGGGTTCAAAAGAATGACTCAGCTCAATGCAGTTAAATAGTTATTATTCAAATATATATTCAAATATATATATTCAAATATATATATATATATATATATATTTCCTGGGGAGAGAGAAATATAACGAAAAGCACGTTGGTCAGGATGGACGGTCTTCGGGACGAGACTTGAACCCGTGACCTCTCGAATGTGAAGCTGGAGTTCTACCAACTCGATCATGATTCTGAATCATCAGGACGTTCTTCGTAATGATGTGCATTCGAGCGATGATAAATGAGACCTTTGTGTACGGATTGGGTTTCGGCAGACCTCACGTCCCCTTTCATGAGAAACGACAGCTGTCCACACGCCACATTCTGCGCACTTCTGATTGGCCATAATTTTCATACTTCTGGTACCCATCATGATATCTCAGAACCAGACCAGACTATGCGATTACACCGGGCGTCTCTCTCCAGCTTCTTGTTCGGAAGGTCCCAGGTTGAAGTCCAGACACTGACACCTCTTTCCGTTGTTTTCCTCCGTCCCTCAAGGCAAACACCGGATCAGTATTTCAGATAGAAAGACATCGCTTCTTTTCACGTTCTTTTCGATTCAATGATCACTAATCCTGCTAGCATTCGACGCCAGACACTTATATTCTGAGCTGTTCTGAGCTATTTAATGGACCAAAATAATACAATATACCAATAATTTATAAAAAGTAAGTACGATTTACATGCATAAGACTCTATCTTAACTATTAACTTCTAACGAAGATATCTGTTTCATGGAATTAAGAATCATTTATGTATAATAAAATTAATGGAGGAACTTAGACTGAGGGTATTTGAGAACAGGGCGCTGAGGAGAATATTTGGACCTAAGAGGGATAAAATAACAGGTTGGAGAAAACTGCATAAGGAGGGGGCTACATAAATTGTACTCTTCGCCAAATACAATTAGACTAATCAAATAGAGGAGTATGAGATGGGCAGGGCATGTAGCACGCATGGAGCGAGAGCGGGGGGGGAGAGGGAGAGAGAGAGAGATGTAATTTTATTTATGATTTTGGTGGGAAAACCAGAAGGGAAGAAACCACTAGGTGGGAGGATTATATAGAAACGGATCTTAACAGAAACAACATGGGGCAGTATGGACAGGATTAATCTGGCTCAGGGTAAGGACCAATGGCGGACTCATGTGAACACGGTAAAGAATCTTGGGGTTCCACAGAATGTTCGGAAATTCCTGAGTAAATGGTGGCTTCTGAGGAAGGAGTAAGCTTCATGGATGCTGTACTGTGGATATAAAGTTCATGTGACTATTTTATTTTATCCATGGTTTTAGAAAACGCATCCGTTTTGGAACTGTCACGTTCCCTCTGAATATGATTGGGGCGATGCTTTACAGCCTCTGGATTATTTACGACCAGGTAAGAAGTTGCACATGCAAACCTCAACTGAACCAGTTCATCACAAGAGAACACGTGTTCGGAATTTTCAAGGCAAGCATTTAAGTGAATATAACTCACATCGATCAGAAAAATCATGCATCGAACATAAATAAAATATCCAGTAAAGAAGAAAACAACTTTCCCACTTCAAAAAACTTCTTGTGGCCATAAGTCACTCCATGCCCAGCTCCTGCATTCCGTATCACCCAAACACGGAACTTCCACATCATGTAAATTTTACAGGCACCATTTGCCATCCAGGGTACAAGAATAAGGAGTTACGTAGAGGAGTTTATATGGGCAGAGATAAAATGACACTATCATCTCCTTGACAAGACACAGGGCTATAATCCAAGAGGAAGTGCATATATGTCATATGGATAAAGTAAAAAAGAGCGTTAAACGGGAGGTTCACATGCAAGAAGGTCACACGGATATTACTGTATTCAATAATGTGATGCCGTATAGTCTGGAAGAAAAATATTTAAAGACAAAGGCAACAGGTTCCTCCAAAACGTCGGTATCTTTCTATCAAACAAGGCTTCATATCCCGATAGAGTACCTCATAATCCGCACAGACTCTGGAAGCCGCTCCATCTCCCATCCAGTTGGTGCGGTGGTAAAACGCCCGGGGGATAAAAATGACCATTCAGCCACACTAGAGAGATAGTTAAGAACGTGAGGAGTTGTACCTCCACTCGGCTCTTCTTAGCGTGGTGCTTAATTTTACGTCTTACGTCTAAATGTAATATGTTTACAATATAAATTTTAACACATCAGCTACAACAGACATAATCAGAGCAAGGAGAAGGAGACGAGTGAACTGTATCTCGCATGGGAAATGCATACAAAGTTTCTGAGAACTCCCTGAAGAAAAGAGACTTCTAGGAAGAACTTAAGGTAGATTGAAGGATAATATTAAAATACATCTGAAAGAAATACGGTGGTAGGTTGAGGACCGGATTCATCTGGCTCAGGAAGTAAAAAGAGGATAATAAAGAACGGAAGAGAGAAGACGAGAACACGATGGAGGAGGGAAAGAGGGGAAAGAGAAAGAGTAGAAGAAGGAAAAGGGAAGTAAAAGAAAGGAAGCTGAAGAGCAAGAAAGGAAGGAAAGAAATGATAAATATGGAAGAAAGAAAGGAAGAAAAAGACAGAAGAAGACAGGAGGAGGAGGAGGAGAAGAGNCGTGCGTGTATAGGCCGCAGCACAATTTTCAGACAGAAATTATAGAAAAAATAATTTTCTTGGAATATTATTTCAGGAGTATTACATCCTGTATTACTAATTATGAATATAATTTTTTTTAAATGAAGTGTGATTTCGAATATTTCGAATATAAGCCGCACCCCAGTTTTCCTCTTGAATTATTGGCAAAAAATACGCGGCCTATACATGCGTAAATACGGTATACTATATAGCTAACTGTTTATCGTCTGCTGATAATCCAACGG